TCTGACGTCAAGAAGAAATATAAAGAGACTTTCGGCATTGTTAAAACTTTTGATATCCTCAGCGAAGAAATAGAAGCTACAAAACTGTTTAGGATTTCAAATATACATCGTACAATTCATGTAAAACGCTTGTGAAAAAAAGAGGTGAAAAATTAGGTGAAAAAAGAGGTGAAATCTCACCTCTTCACCTAAATTATATTTTTGGTCAAAGCTTCCACGAGAGAAAAGATTCCTCATTTGCTAAGGATTCCAAAAATGAAAAAATCGTTGATTTCGGCTGAGAAAAAACGGCAAAAACCCTTCTTCCACGGGAACAAAGAAATAAAGAAGAAATAAAGTAAATTTTTTATTTATTCCCGTGGAAGATAGAGCACTTTTATGACACTTTTTATTCACGACAAACAAGACAAATAAAGAAAATAAGAAAATACGGCGCTGTCGCGGTTCGAACCACAGACCCTGACCCCTCCATAACACCACCTTAGACCACTGTGCTACGTAGCCTGTCGACATAAGATTTTATAAATTGCATATTTGACGTAAATTTATTTCCATCTGGCTTCCCACTGCATAAGATATTCATACGTGTTTGTAAGACATTCATTAAACTTCTTTTCTATTGCATCTAATCTTGCGTTATTTTTTTCAATAACTTGTCTGTATTCTTCATCATCTCCAGCAGTGTTTGGGTCTTCACGTTTAAAATATTCATTGTTAACCAATTTTTTATCTACAAATTTTATTAGTGTTTGATTCACTTCGTTATGATAACGGTCATATTCTTTCAATACGTAAGTGAAGACAAAATGCGTCGTACCTTCAATCTTAAAGCTTAAAGAACTTTCAACACAGTTTTGAGGGTCTGTCAGTGCGTCAATGAGATAGTATTCGAAGTCAGTCAATAATCTTTTTAAAGTCATTTCATACAGGATAAAATTTAATGTTGTGAAGAAATAGTGTTTATCTCAAAAAAAATAAAGTTAGTTTTTATTTTATTTATTTTTTTATCCTGTATGTAAAGACAGATATGTCAACATTAGAGAACACAACAACTGCTATCGTTCATGAAGTCATAAATGAAGAATACGAATACATACAGTATAACAAACAATTGAGACTCATTCGTTCTGTCAAAGACGACATGTACCAAATGCAAAGTATTTTGACGGCTTGTTTTGCTCCAGATACTAAGCTTCCTAAAGACTGGTTTAGGAACCAAAGCACCATAGAACTATTAAGTGAAGCACAGCGAGACGTACTTTTTTCTGAAAACAGTGAAGAACAGCGAGTAGGTAAAAAATCCCAGTCGCCAAAACTCTATGAAAACCGTGAAAAATTGCCAAACGGTTTGAGAGGATATTATGTTCATAGACTTTTAGTAAATGCAGTTGCAATGTGGGCTTCACCACGTTATGCTTGGAATATTTACAAACTTCTTGACGAACTTCACAGACAAGAACGTGGAGAGATGGAAAAGAAACTTCAAGCAAAAGATGAAGTCATTGAATCCAAAGACAAAAGCATACAGAAAAGAATACCGCGTTCAGTACCAAAAGGAAAGGAAAAGAACTATAAGTATATGATTTATACTGAAGAGTTGGAGAATGAAGAAGACAGAGATATGGTTATGTTGCATTTAGTCAGAAGAAACAACAAAAGCTTTTACGACCTTGCTAAAATATATAAATCTGACAGAAACTGGTTCTATCGTGAAAACTTACCGATTTCAATGACACCGAATGAGCAAATAAAAGAAATTGTCAAAAATACTCTTCCTCAAACACACTATGACATCAAAGGTTGCACAATACTTACCTTCAAAGAAGACTTACCATTACTGAAGGAAAAAATAACAGAATATTTCGATAACTTCAAAGAGGAAGAATGAAGTCACGACAACATTAACGAAGAAGTCACGACAACATTAACGAAGAGAGAATGAGGTGAAAAAACAGGTGAAATCTCACCTCTTCACCAAAAATATATTTTTGGTTAAATAGCTTCAGGGTCAATTTCTTCAACCATTTCACTTCCTTCGTCAATGTCAATAGAAGCTTCTTCAACCTTTGGTAAGAACTTTTGTATAACATCTTTGTTCGTTATTGTCTTCAGAGATGAAGGATAATATTTCACATGTTTCACCCTTCTTATATTCTTTCTGTTCGGAAAGATTCAAGCAATACTGAAGAAGTCAATGTTGGAGTTCTTTATAACAGTATAATGAGTATCTTTGACATTCACGAAGAAACCCTTTTGTTTCAAAACTACTGCTAACTCTTGTGAAGTATAACGTTTGCGGTCAATGACAATAGCTAATGGTCTGACATACTGACCGAACTTAGATTCTTTCACAAACTTCTTGTTAAAGATAACATTAACGTTTGAAGCAATTGAACTCATTCTTGATGGCAGTAGCGAGAGCATTGTATGAAAAGAACTTGCAATCTTGCATGTGTTTCATTAAAATAAAAATATTAAATTATTTTGAAAAATAACTTAAAAAAATGTAATCTAATTTTTCAAAAAATATTTTTTATCCGATAGAAAAGATGACAGAAAAATTAACTTTTTACATAGCGCCAGACCCTTCTTGCCCACATCCTTTTAAGCCACAATATATAGACATAGAACTAAATAGAGAAAGCGAAATTCCACAATATATATACATAGAACTAAATAGTGAAGGCGAAATTCTACAAACAGAAGAAAGCGAAATTCCACAAACATATAGAGACCTAGATAACGAAAATGGATATGCGCTATTCTGGTTAGATTGTCCTTATAAAATGTATGAAAAAAAGGCTTTATATGAAGAATATAGAAAATATTGTCATGAAAACGATATAAGACCAAGCTCTAGAGAAAAATTCTATGCTGGTATAAAACATCTTTTCGAAGTTCGGAATGGCAAATATATAAAGAAATAATTTTTCTAAGTTTATTTTTTCGAAAAAATATTTTTTTATTTCCTACTAAAGATGTATCGGAAGTTGTCTAAGTTAGAACACTCGGAAATAAAACAACTTCTTACAGAAGCTAATATAGATGTTGCAAAACATTACGCGACAAACAAAAAAGCACTCGCTGACTTCATTAAAGACTACAATGGTGCAATAAGTTATGATAGAATTCATGAGTTCATAAAGCCGCAACGCGGCGAGGACGAAGTCCATGCAAGAGCATTTCCTTTAAATGACATTGCTATTGACTTATATCATAGACGTTCAGTACCTCATGAAGTAAGAAGAGAAATGTTTGACATAACAAATGCGAACGTTGGTCATACTCGTAAAGCTCTTTCGCATGATGTTCGTCAAGAAATGTTTGACATAACAAATGCAAACGTTGGTGAAACAAGAAGAAGAGACGACACACTGAAACAACAGAGAAGAGAGATGTTTAAAAGTGCTATAGAACAAGTTCGCAAAGCTAACGATGTCATTCGTTCCATTGACGACAAACCAAAAGAAGGTGAGAGATGGTTAAAGAAAGATGAAGAGAATAGGAAGAGAAATGTGAAGTCAGGCAATAGACTCATTGACTTTAACATCGAAGCTTTAGATGAACCAAACAGAGAATATTTACACAAACATTTCGGTAAGGTTTTCATGAGACTCTTAGAGAAAATTAAAATAAACTCGCAACAAAGATGGATGGTATGTTATAAACTTGGTGGAAAGTATGAATGTTCTACGTTAAACCTCAATAATATTGGAACATTACTACATCAGCTCTTGAAGGAGAACTTTATATCAGAGATAGAAGCAAATGCTGCAGGTATTGTTGAAATGCACTATGACTTCTTCTTGACAAACATAAAGAATCTTACTGAAATAAAGATGTATGATTTAACAGAATATGAAGGCTTAACGATGTCAGATGTAAAGAAAGGCAAACCAAAAAAGAGACCATATAGAGATGAAAGCACACTGACAAATGACCAGAAAGCCATTTTGGAAGCTCTTAAGCAAACAGGAAACCCAGCACTTATAGAAAGCTTTTGGAAAGATAATGGTGAAAAGAAGTTTTATAAGAAGAGAAGCGGTCAGTTATGGAAGTATCTTTGCACATTACCTATAAATCTTGAACGCTACCAAATCTTCAATGAACTGAACAAAAGAACTGCAATACTTATGACAGAGGACAATTGTTTCGTTTATGCTTGCATTCAGGCTGGAGTAAATGAAGAAACTATTGACCACATGAGAGAAGTCATTCGTGTTAGAGACTTTCCTCAAAGTAAAGTACAAGAAATTTCTGACGCAACAGGTATAGCATTTAATGTTACCATTGGTTATTTCAATGACTCAAGACATAATGAAATAAAGAGATATATACCAAAAGAATGCGAAACTGTTAGAACTATTGACTTACTTCTTGTTGAAGACCACTACATGCTAAATGAAAGACTTCCAATGACAACATACTTCATTCGAAACTATAAAGAAATTCTCAAAGCTTGTGGTGGAATGAACATTGAGAAACAGATGAAGATTTATACAAAGAGAGAAGATAAATATGTAGTTCGTTATGATAGAACAACACCGTTATGGGATGTTATGAAAACATTGTGGGAGTGCAAATATTTCGAACCTATTTCTTATGGAGAACTTTTCACATATACTACTGACTTATATAAACAGAACCTTGCACCATTTAAAGATTTGACATATGCTCCAAAGTATTGTGTACAACTGAAGAAGAAAGCAGAGTCAAAAGAAGTAAATAAAGCTAAATGTAAATTCATTCCTGAGCACGTTTTCTTTGCTGACTTTGAGTGTAGTACGGATGGCTTTCATAAAGCTTTTAACATCTGTTATGACAGTGAAGATGGTTCAGTGAGTGAAAGCATTTGGGGTCAAAACTGTGCAACAGAATTTTTGGAAAGACTCCCTGACAAGAGTTTAATATATTTTCACAACCTCAGTTATGACATAAACTTCATCTTAAGACACATGACAGAAGTGAAAGGAACTCCCATCATTAAAGGTTCACGAACAATGCAAATAACTGGTTTATATAAAGGACGGGCAATTATTATAAAAGACTCTTACAGTGTTATAAATAAGAAGCTTAAACTATTTCCTGCTATGTTTAACTTACAAACAGGACCGAAAGAAGTATTTCCATATAACTACTACAGCAGTGTTTTGTTAGCAAATGACAACAGAACTGGTGTCATTTCTGAAGCATGTAAGTTTATCCGGGATGCAGATACATTTATGAAAAACATAGATTCCATCAAAGGTTGCAGAATAGATGAGAACCACTTCGACTTAGAAAAATATAGCACGTTTTACTGCAAACAAGATGTAAGAATTTTAAGAGAAGGTTTTGTAAAGTTCCGCAATGACTTATTGAAAGAGTTTGATTTAAACGTTTATGACTACGTTAGTATTTGTTCAATTGCTAACAAATTGTTTGAGAACAGAGTATACTTCCCGAATGGAAATCTTTATGACCTCTCAAATAAACCAAGAGAATTTATTTCGAGATGCATTCAAGGTGGAAGATGTATGCTGTCAGATAACATGAAACAAAAGAGCGAAAAGAAACTCATTGCTGATTTCGACGCTGTTTCATTATATCCATCAGCTATAGCAAGACTTTATACTTTAGAAGGTATTCCAAAAGTATTGAAGGATGAGATGCTAAGCACAGAGTATCTCATGAGACATTTATTCGATGATGACCAAAAGGAACCCATTGGTGAAAAGTTTATGTCTGGCTTCTTTGTTCTCATTAAGATAACAGAGATTGGAATACATAGACACTTTCATTTAATAGTTTGCGACCCTGAACTAAATCCAGAACTTAACGTTCCAAGAAGTTCAAACACTTGCTGTCTCATGTATGTTGACCATATAACATTACAAGACCTCATAAAATATCAAGGTGTCAAATGTGATGTGTTGCAAGGATACTATTACGATGGAAACAGAGATATGAGAATAAGAGATGAAGTAAAGAAGTTGTTTGAGTTAAGGTTAAAGTATAAGAAAGAAGAAAACCCCTTACAAGAAATTATAAAACTCATTCTGAACAGCATTTATGGCAAAACTATTCTATCTCCTATTGAGTCAAAAATAACCATAGTAGATGACAAAGATGCTATAAGATATGCTATAAGAAATTACAACCATATAGTGAAGTTCGAAGGTTTGGATGGTTCAGATAAAACTATTTTCAAGCTAACGAAAAGCATTTGCAGACACTTTAACTTCTGTCCACTTGGTGTTAATATTCTGTCTATGTCAAAACGTATTATGAATGAAGTATTCTGTACTGCAGAGGACTTAGGAATGGACATCTTTTATAGCGACACCGACAGTATGCATCTCTACAATGAAGATATCCCTCGTTTAGCTGAAGAGTTTGAGAAACGTTATGGAAGAGTTCTCATTGGTAAAAACCTTGGTCAGTTTCATAGCGACTTTGCAGAAATAACACCTGGAAAACAAAGTTTAGCTTATAAAAGTATTTTCTGTGGAAAGAAGACCTACATAGACTTACTCACTAACGATTTAAATGAAGTTGCATTCCATGCACGTTGCAAAGGTGTCAAACAAGACGTTCTTGCTTTAACAGCAAATGAAATGTTTCCTGAAGCTATACAATGCTATTACAATGAAGATAAGAACATTCACATACCTGTTGGAACATATGACAAAGACTCTGAGTTCAGTTTAATGAAACTTTACAAAGCACTTCATGATGGTCAAGAGATTGCATTCGACTTGTGTAAGTCTGCTACACCTGCATTTGAAGAGAAGTTTAACTTCTCAATAACGACTAAAACAAGCTTTATTCGTAAGTTGAAGTTCTGAGGTCATTTATTTTTGTCAGCAATGAGGTCATGAATGAGGTCATGAATGAGGTCATTTATTTTTGTCAGAAATGAGGTCATTCGTGATAAAAATAAGCCCATGTGGTCATTTACAATACTGCGATGGTAGAGTTTAAGAGTTGTGCTTCAATGTAGAGACAGTCCTTATGGTCTGGAGGTAAGAACACTGGGCAGTTATGGTCATGAGTGGAGAACATGTCTATCCAAAACTCACGATTGAAGCCAGTTAATTTATAGTATTTAGGGTTAGGAAGTGGTGAAGTTCTTGTATGACCAATGAACTCATTTTCAACTCCCTTACTTAAGTTTGAATATAATATAGCTTGCTTTCTATCCCAAATGCCAGGTGTTACAATCTTTGAAAATTCATTTTTCCTCGGAAGCATTGCATCATAATTGAAAACATTCTTGAAGTCTTCATTGGTTCAGAGATTTGAAACCTTATACGTAATGGATTTTCTTTCTTTTTAGCGACTTCATTGAATGGTGAATATATAACAAACTGACAGTCATGAGTTCCATCTTCATTTTCATTAAATTCATAATGAAAGTCTATAAGTTGTGGCTGACTACCTTCTTCTTTCAGTTGTGCAAGAAACTCACGTAAAGGCTGTAAAGTTTGTACTTCAATATTGAACTTTTTCTCGAACATCTCATTAAATGAAATCATACATTGCAACAATGTTGTATCGTCTTTAAAGTATTTGTATATGTGAATGTTTTGGGCGCTTAAAGACTGTTCGTCATTTTCTATCTCGACTTGAAGTATAAAGTCAACCTTTCTGAAAGCACGTGTATTATATACATAGATGTTATGCCAATGTACTTCTCTTCATTTATGTTCACAATCCAGTCTGTTGGAAACTTAAACGTTACTCTGTTCCCCTTTATTTTGACGTCAGGGTTTTCACTACTGAACGCAACAGATAAAGGTATTTGTCTATACATTTAGTTTGGATAAAAATAAACCATTTACTCTTTCTTTGCTTCAGCTTCCTTTGCTTTTTGTTCTTCCTTTGCTTTTGCTTCTTCTCTAGCTTTTTTCGCCAGCAAACGTGGGTTCTTCTGTCTTCCAGCAGCTAATGCAGCTAGTTGTTTTTCACTAAGTTTTCTCTTTGGTCTCTCTGGCTTTTGTTCTTGTTTTTGTTCCTTCAGTTCGGATAAAATTTGCTCGCGAATTTCTTTCTTCAATGCTTCAACATTTATGACCTCTTGGGTCTTGTCCGTGGGGTTTGTCTGAGTCATTTGACTGCAGATAAAAAACAAAATTAAAACTTTAACCGATGTAAAATGAGCTTGTCAAAATCAGAGCGAGAGTCTATTATATTAAATGACGCAAGAGGAATACAACATCCTTTCTATTACGTAAGTCAGAGTAAAGATGGTAAAATATACGTAAGAAAAAGAAAGGTTCCATTAGCGAATGCAGAAAGCGACAACATTAAGGTGCATGGCACCGAGGGTGAAGTCCACGAAGCCCATATAAAACCTTCTGTTCAAACTGAGCCACCAAAAGAACAAGAAGAAAAGAAGCCAGATGTACTTTCAATAACGAACCAAGAGCTTATTGCAAAGTTCGTGAATTTCATTGAAAAGCAAACCGAGTCAAAGAACCCTGACCCACCAGTGAAAGAAGTCGAGACAAAAGAGAATGTACAGTTCATTGAAAATGTCAAGAAACAACTTCCACCACGAATACCAAGAAGAAGAGTGAGAATAATGAAGTAAATAGATATTTTTATCTGAAGTAAATACATGCAGAACGAACAGTTAAACGAATTTACATCCAGCAGAGCATATTCATCAGATTCGCTCATATTTCGATATCATAGACAATGCAGTTCAAATTGGTGACACTAATAGAAAATATTCTGACGCAAAGATTCCATCACAACCTGGAACTGCTAAAGATAACACATGGGTAACATTCAATCTCTCACCTCCTGGTGAAAATATGTTGGACCTTTACAATACATTTCATTACGTATAAAATGGAAGGTCAATTTATTGTAGATAAAGAAATTGGTTCAGGTTCCAATAAAACAAACCCACCAGGATTTTGGATTGGTTTCGATGACGCTTTCTATGCAGTTGCTGGATATCAAATCCTTGCAAATGGTCGTATCGTATATTCTCAAGACAACGCAAGAGAAGAAGCATATATAACTTCAAACTCACAAAACTACCGAACAAATAAAGAAAGTAGATGTTTTCTCAAAGACTCGACATGAAGATGTATGGAGTCATTCGGGAACATGCAGAACAGGACAAATTGTTAGTGGTCCAATTACAGCAGGAAAATCATTTGATTTTAAGCTTCGTTTAAGAATTCCTGTTAGAAGATTCCTTCCATTAGAACCTATTCGATTTATTCCAGCTTTTGCAGGAAACATTCAGCTTAAAGTAAAGTTCAGTAGCGACCCTTACAATGCACATCTATATCTGTAAATGATATCATTGCTTTCAATCCAACTCTTAAAGTTGCATTTGCTTCAGGTTCAAATCCACCGACAAATAAATTTGTTCCATGGAATGAACCATTCACTATGATAACGAGTGCAACTGAAGCTAGTGGAACAGTTACTATTACAACTGTAACCCAGCAACTATTTCGAACAAAGATGGATTTTAATGAATGTTTTATTCATCCAAAGTCATTCTCTTTAGACCCTAAACATTTATACAGAACTTGTAGAACATTATACAAACGAGGCTTTATGTTTTCCTGTTAAAGTTATGGATTGGATTCCTATGGATGGTTCATTCTCAAAGAATACAGATAGTTCAAGTGCAACATTTACAGCAGCTTATACGCCTATTAATGTTAAAAGTATTTGGGCACTATTTAGAAAGAAAGACAACTATTATGTTAATTTTTGAGAACCCTAAGTTTAAATATCTTCAGCTTTCCATGGGAGCTTATGGAAATATGCCTGCAGAACCTGAAAAATCATATGGACCTGTATTTTATGAAATGGTTGCGAACGCTTGCAATACAAACAATGATATGATTGGATTTAATGAAGATGTTATGAGGTCATTGGTGGATGATGGTAGTGTGGAACATAAATGGGATAGCTATGACAACACACATTTCTTATGTGGTTTTCCAACAGAAGTGGACTTTTGCTTCCAGCAAGGTCAAACATCTACTGCTCCAATAACATACAAATTGTCTGTTAAAGGACCTATTGAACTAGCAACAGAAAATGTACCAAAGCCACTTATTGGATTTATGAGGGATTGTTGCTTTGCAATACAAGTAAGACAGTCAGGCATACCAATAATAAGACTTGACGACTATAACTTAGCAGCGGACGACAGTGAGGAATAAAGGATGAACGTTTATTTTTAAAGCTTATAAATGAGTTCTTCATCAAGCTCTCGTGAACCTTCACCATCTGTGAAACAAACTTTACCAAACGATTATGGAGCACCTATTGAATATTTCTTACGAGCTGCACAATGGCAAAGAGCAGTCTCACCAAGGTTAGGTGTTCCACCAGCTCCTGTCAAAAATAGCATTTGGTCAAGTCCTTATATAAGATATGGTCTCCCACTAGGTTTGCTAGCTACAGCAGGAGCAGTAATGATGTTGAAAAGAAACAAAGCAAATGTTATAAATAATACTGAAGTAGCTGAATTTGAACAAACTCCGACACCATCGCCAAAACCAACGTCAAACCAACGCCTTCACAAACAACACCTTCAATGACTCCTGAACCTATGAAAGTACAAACTCCTGTTCAAAAGTCAACTCCAAAACCGACTCCAACATTTAAACCAGAACCTACTCCTCAAATAAATCGTAAAACTCCTGCGTTTCCTTACTGAAAAAATAATGTTAGTTTTATTTATCTTGAACATTTTATTTAGAGTAAAATGACGACTAAAGTCACTGAAGCAATGAAACAAAAATTTTTGGTAGAATACATTAAATCAGGAGCGGTTCCAGAAGGTTTTTACGTTCATACTATGAAGGATGGTAGAGTTCAGTTTAGAAAGATAAAGCAACCATTAGATAAAGAAGGAATTTTGAGAAAGATTAAACTTCATGAGGACAACATTGCTGAACTTAAGAAGAAGTTAGAAGAGTTGGAGAAAGGAAGAGAGTTATAAAGTAATGAATTCAACGGGTGAAAAAAGAGGTGAAAAAAGAGGTGAGATTTCACCACTTCACCTAAATTTATTTTTTCACCTCTGACAACGTTTATTTTTAAGTTTATTTTATTATTTAGCGAGAACGTTTATTTTTATATAAATGACAGAACAAAAATATAACATTTCTACTCAGCAGGAATGAGACCCTTACTGACTATGTATTCGTTTAATGCTTGATGAAAACAATGGTACATATTATCGTATGGGTATACACAACGTCTGTTTCCATCGTCGTCGTATATGTAGAGCTCAAATCCAGTCCAACCTTCTTTTGTACAATATGTAGCTTTATTTAAGTATGCATTTATGTAGATAAGGCAATTTTCTTCATCGCTCCAGAAATAATTTTTCGTCATTGTTGAAATAGTTTTCGTTCCTCTGCGACCATAAGGAATGTATGCAATGAACTTTGCGTCATATGGGATTGTAATATATTCAGGGTTTCTTTCATCGTCAATGGGTCTGTCTTTGTTAAAATGCATGTTTCTCAGTTTTACTTGAGTTTTGAATAGTTCACGGAAACGTTCTGGGAAAGAGTCATAGTAAATGTAGTCGGACATGTCTTTGTAATGAAATAAAAAATTTAAAATAAGGTTATTTTTATTTAGTGAGGACGGTAGTGAAGTCGTTAGTGAAGTCGTTAGTGAAGTCGTTTATGTATCAGATGGTTTTGTAAATATTTAAGGTTAAGTTGGTGTTTGTGTTGTAAAATATACGTTACCGGTTTTGTAAAGTGTCAAAACCGGTAAGTTGGGTAAGGTGGAACGCAGTGCCACAGTACCCAAGATAGTCATACTAACTATATTCATTATTTTTAATTTTGTCTTTAATTTTAGAAATTATTTTATCATGATATTTCAAAATTTCATTTTTATAATATGGATAATAATAATCCATATCATCACCTGTTATATTTTTATTATGTTTTTGGAGATATGATTTTAATTCATAATAATTAAGAAAATTTTGATTAAGTACTAAATCATCAATTAAATTTTCTAAATCTGCGTTATCCATTTATATAAAAATAAAATAAATGTTTTAAGGGTGCCCACCTCTTTGAATCATAGTATCAAAACCATTATTTACATATTGAATCGCATCATTAACGGTTCCTTTTGTCTCTTCTGTGGCATTTTATTAAAAATAAAATTTTAAATTATATTAAATAAATGGCATACAACATCCATTTTCACAACATACAGCCTTAGTGTGTGCTCCTGTTAATGCAGTCTTACCGATTGTTAAGCGAGTCATTGACCCGTTTTTAAGTTGTAAATTAATATTCTGACCATCGAAAATAACTTTATCATTTATTATATCCAAATAATTTTTAGGTGTTAATTGCTTATTTTGTCTTAAACTAACACCTTTCATTTTTTGTGCAATCTTTTTAAAATCACTTCCATCAATTGAACCGTTGAATGATGTATAACACTTAGGGCATAAAGCAACCATGTTATCACCTTGTTTCTCAATTGCTAAACCCAATAACTTCTTCTCATGTGCTTTTTCTTTAGCTTTATTCTTTAATTTAGGTTTAAATTTCTCATCAAAACAGAAGAAATCAAATGGTGCGAATTTGAAAATGTTTTTATCATAAAATTGTTTATCGGTAACAATTGCTTGAAATGCTTGAGTGTTAGGAAGATTTGGGTCGCCAGCGATTGCCCAATAAGATGAATCAGTATCACCTTCAATGAAATGAAAACGATTAACATCCATGCATTTATACATAAAATCATAAATGAAAACTAAATACCAGTATTTTGCGTTATCTAAAGTGAAGAATGCCTCTTGTAAACATGTATCACATCTATAAAATCTATCTTTAAGCATCACTTGATATGTATCCTCACCTATTTCTCTTATGTTTTAAACTTATTTGACATACATGCAACGCGTGCCTTCTGTGCATTCATTATTTTAGTCTTTGCGTAATTTTGCGTATTCATTGCATCGTAACCATATGATCCATTAAGTGAAATCTTGCAAAATAAACTTTTTCCTTTATTTCCTTCTAATTCAGCCTTTTGTCTTTCGTTCATAAATTCGTTCGCAAATTCATTAAAACAAGTGTTTTTCGTAAATGTTAAAATTGATTGAATATCATCAATGATAAAATTAAACCTGTCGATTAGATACCATAGATAATAAGAAGAAAATGGTTGATATTGGTTGTGTGTTGATGCTAACTGAGTTAATTTCCTCTGTTTCTGGTCAACTGGTAGATTGTTTGATTTCATGTAATTATACATAAAACTGCCAATTGTTTTTTTCATCTGTGATAATATCTAAGTTTCTTATTATCGGTAAAAAGTTTATGTAATCATTAATGTATTTTTCATTAATGTGACCCTTTACTTCAGCCACGAATAAAGTATTTTTCTTCTTAATTATTCCCAGTGCTTTTGCTTTCTTTGTTGCTGTATCACAAATGATAACACTATTCAATCTTCCCGGCATATACATTTTATGGTCAGTATATTGAATGAAATCATGAGGATTAGATGAAAATGATGAAGGATATAATGAATTAAAATCAACACCAACGAAATGAGTCATAATGTTGGTGGTGTCCTCATTTGATACAGTTTTAGTTTCTGGACTATATGAAAGTTTATTAATGTGCGTGATTCCTTTAAGATTAACACGATGTTGAACATTTGATAAACCACCAGTAATTCCATTACGGAGAATGTGATAAGCTTCAACTGAATCTAAAGTCATTGGTAAATTATTTTTTAATGCATAATTTCTTAAATTGATTCTTAAACGTTGAACATCTTCATCTTTATTTGATTTTACGACATTGCAATAACAACACATTAACTGACAATTTTCTTTGGTATGTGGTTTTTCATTATCGATTCTATCCAATGTTGGTTTATTTGCATATGTAAACGCTTTACCTCACATTTTGCATTTAGATGAAAGGATTAAATCGTGATAGTATTGAAAATCATCCATTGAAACATTATTTTTAGTATCTCTTTCTGCTTTTTCATCTTGTTTCTTATATAATTCAATTTTATATTTCCAATACTTTTTCGTTAATTCAAAACTTGATTCTATCTCTTCCTCAGGATATTTTTCATTAGGATTAAAGTCTTTATATGCTAAAGCGTAACGAATCATTGAAGCATTCGATGATAAAGAAAGATTATGAAGCATATCAATTTTATAAACAAATGTTTCTTCAATAATTTTATCGATTGGGTCAATCATAATTTCAACATCTTTATTGCAATAATGAATAAAATATTCTAATCTATTCTTAAAATTTTTAGCATCATTGAGATATATTTGATAATCACTATCTGATATAGTTTCTTGGGTTAATGCTGAATAAAATGAATCTTGAGTGAATGGTTCCTCTTTATATAATTCTTCTTCGTAATTTTCCCACGTGATGAATTGATAAGGGAAAAAGGATTTAACACGTGATTTATTGTTTCCGAAATCTTGATTGAATTGGTCTAATGTCCCACCCGCTATATAATTTCTGATGTCAATAAATCTCAATTCATATGGAACGTTTGTTTTCTTTACAATGATTTGCTTAAATTGTGAAGATGAACCCAGCATTGATTTTATTTTCCATTTTGCAGTATTTAAATCACGAAGAATTAAATTTAAATCAAACTTTCCCGAATTAAAACCTATGATATTCACTTTATTGAATTCCTCATCTAGAAGTTCTTTAAATGCTTCCTTCTGTTTTTCATTTAATGTATGGGACAAAGTCCCCGCCGTTTGCGACTTCAATAATTCATTGTATTGACTCATATTTGATTCAACAACTAATGAACAGGTTGAAAATAAAAACTCAATCCAATCAGAAATAAAAGAATCACTCGAAGTTAAGCAAAAATTCCTCGTATACGTTTTATCATTTAATTTAACCGTTGATGATACCATGAATGGTTTTAAGTAAGCGTTCAAAGTTGCACACTCAGAAAGTTGTAATTCTTCTTTAGTCTCTAATGTTTCAAAGTCAAAAGTAATATAATATCTTGTCGGTTGATAATATTCCTGCAAATTATGAGCTAATAACCACTGATATATCTTCTGTTTCGTAATATGTGGTGCATATGGTTGCTGGGTCTTTTGCAATTGAACGTCTTGAATTAATCTTCCATTATTTTCTTTACATTTCTCACAATGCTTTAAAAATCTTCTTTGTTTTTTCCTTTCTGGATCATCACGGATAGAATAAACTTCTTCTTTACAATATGGACAAACTTTATAGCCGGTGAGTGCTTCAACGTCTGTTATTCTGTCAGCGTGAAGTTTTCCACATGGACTCTGTGTTAATAAAATATTTACTGTTTCAAATTCTGGATCTATCATTATTGATTCCACTAATGGAAAGTCTACCTTATTTATGTCCACGTCTTCTGGTTGAGGATCACAATAATAGAAATCAATATTAACATTTAACATTCTCGCTAATCTCTCACTTTCTGATGAAATGTCAAACCCTTCATATGCATCTATTGCTTCATTTAAATAGCTTCTACGAGTTTTAGGATTAACACCATCAGGAATGTTATAGAAGCGTTTAAATAACCTTCTACCTTCTGCTCTAATTTGATTATCATTCATTTTAGCTGTTCCGTTTTTGTTCATTTATGTAAGAAAAAATTAAAAAATAAATAAAAATAAAGTTTATTTTTTAAAGCCCATAAAATGAATTAAGAACACATAAATTTTATCATCTGCGACGTGACGAATACATTTTAATTTACTCAAGAATGCGTACCCTGATACATTAAATCTAATTCCTGTCTTATTTAATTTCACAACTTTGAAAAGGAATGTATGAATAGCTATAAAATGATGAGAAGATGTTTTATGGGTTGTTTCCATTTTTTCTGAAATAAATGAATAAATATAATGTTTATAAGTTTTCATATCTTTTATGTTCTTAATAACGAATGGTATAGACCTTTCAACTTCGTCTTCCTTCGGTGCTGTTCTTTCATATGAAACATTATTGGTATCTTCAATAATGAAACCACAATCACACAAAATTTTATAGGTTCCAATGGTTTCTTTTGATATTTTATCTAATAAATCAAAAACTTTATCAACACCTGTGCATTTATTTAAATAATAATTTGTGTAAATATCATGATCTTCTTTCTTAATCGTATTAGTTGCATATGTCACGTTTTTAAGAGCTTTTTTGAATTTTTCGGAATCTAAAGGTGGTGAAAGTAGGATACAGGGGTATTCTTCATTATCAATAAATTGTAACTTATGTTTACGAATAAATTTAGTACCTTCTTCTGAAAGTGTTTCGTCTATTTCACCATCTAATAAATTTTGTGTTGATTCTGAGACATAATTTTTATATCTTTCTTCATGAGATTTCTGTACTTCTGATTCTGAAGCTGGGATATTCATTAAACCCTCTACTTCATTTTCATTATATTTTTCAACTTCTCTTAATTCCTTAATTTTTTCATCTATTTCATCTCTTATTTTTTTCAGTCTTTCAATTTCATTGTATTCATCATCTTTAATCCGTTCTTCATAATATTCAGGGAAAACATCAGGTTCTTTTGGTTTTTCTTCTTTAGATGTGGGATATAAGAAATTTATAACATCATATTTATTCATTTTTCCATCATAATCTAAATCATTTAATAACTCGGCAAATTTTTGACAATTTCTTAAATAATATTTATTAACTTCATAACCTACCTCCTCTAATATATCCTTTATTTCCTCGTTTGTGAATCCTAATTTTTTAACGTTGTTAGTTTTGACGCTCATTTCATACAAAATAAAAAAATAAAATAATAAACATAACTAAGTTTTAATTTTTCGTAAGAAGTTTATTTTATTTTTATATATAAATCATTCGTAAGGTCAAACAGACTTCTTATTTTTATATGAATTCCATCCTCTTTAATGTCATCAATGATTTCCATTTCATTATTTTCAATTTCTTCTTCTCGTTTATGAGGTCTTTGATTATGACTCCATTGATTCCATGAAATTAAATATTCTTTATCATTATATTTATACCTCATTAGCTTATTTTGGCTTTCATATTCATTTAATAATTCACAATCTTCATTTTTAAATTGAAGTTTAACCCATTCAGGATTTAAACAATGTTTAATTAATCGCGGAATATCTGACATCATCTATATATAGCTTCTTTTATAAAAGATAAAAAAATAAATTATTTTAAAATTAATGTTAATTTTTTAAATGATTTATAAATAAATATATTTTAATGCATCGTCTATATATAGATGTAACAAAAAAAGTCACTAAACCCGTCCGCATATACCACTATAATTACTCTTCAATTATCATTGAAATCAGAACAATGAACTAAAATAATGAATAGTTTGCAATTTTTCAAGATATTAATAAATGATTGAATAAACCAACTTTCCTATGTAAAGTCTCTCTATAGTTTTTCTACCTCAATGTTGAGTAAATCTCTATCAAAAATTTGAATAAGAGACTTTAAGAAGGAAATGGAGTTTATTTCATTTAAATTTGGTTGCCATTTTCTTTAATATGTGAACAAATATGAAGATTATCGTTATAATGGTAGTTTACTCTGAGTGTACAAAAATTTATAAGGTAGTCACAAAATCTAAGTAGTGAGGCTCTCAAAAATTGAACCGTACTCCATACAAAATTTGTGTACCCTCACTACTTAGATTTTGTGGCCTTCAATTGAGAGGTTAGTTTTGATAGAGCACGTTATAAAATTAAAAGGGAAAAATAAATAAAATTTAAACATTTAATTATATATAATTTAAGGAGTGTAATTCCAAATTTTCTAAAAACTATTCAAATTTGAGCATTTTTTTGGAAATAGTAAATCGGCAAACCCAAATTTTAGCTAAAAGTGACAGGGAAAATTGCTCGGTTCTACATTCAAAATAAATTTCATTAATTTTTACGTACATATTAAGGTACTTATCTTCTACATATATAATCTTCATTAGATATATACATGATAAATAAAATTCATAAAACATTAAAAATCAAAAAATTAGATGAACCTTGGCAATTAAACTTTATTAAATAATAGTTAAAAAAAAAAAGGTATTGGGGCTTCCAGGGCTGCGCCCCTCTAGCCCCTTGAAGATGTTTAGTATAACATGCAGTTTATATAAAATGAGGTTTTTTGGGGGTCTGGGGGCTTCCCAGGCACTTCGTGCCTTCTAGCCCGTAAAATTTTTGAAAGTCGTTGCTGTTGACTTTTTAGTAGAGGACTCAAAATAGTAGAACTATGTCCGGACAAGTAAGGGTCTATCGTCGCTACAGAAAAGTTACGGGCGTTCAAAGAAATATACTTTGAGAAGCCTTTTCTTCCTTATAGAATGAGATAGGATGGTTATTTTACAAAACCGACAAGACCTTAACCGAGTAGTTTTCATGTTTTGTCACTTTTCTGTCACTTTTCAGGGTAAAAACATTTTTATTGTATATAAAATGAATTTTACAAAACCACCGTTACCCTTCTTTGGAAATAAGAGTAGATGTAAAGATATTCTATTGAGAGAACTTAAGAAACTACCGAATGGTCTAACATTTGTAGATTTGTTCGGTGGAAGTTTCTATATATCCCATATGTGCCATACCGTATTCCCAGACTCAAAGATTATATGCAATGACTTCGACAACTATATGAACCGTCTCAAACATATACCAGACACAAACAAAATATTGAAAGAGTTAAAAGAAAAGATACCTATAGGTAAGATGGAACGTATACCATTAGATAAGAAAAATACTGTCAGAGAGGTTTTGAAAAAAGCAGAATATATTGACTGGGATAGTATATCTGCTAGACTTTTATATAGTGGTTCTATAAGAGTTCATGACATTGAAACACTTATGTCAAACGTTTTATATCTTAACTATACAAAGGTTTTCAAAGAGAACATAGAAAAATATACTGAGGGTATAGAGTTTGTGAGATGTCATTGGACAGAGTTGTATGAAAAATTTAAAGACAAGGAAAATGTTTTCTTTATAGTAGACCCGCCGTTCTATAACACATATGATTTTCAATACCAAGTAGACTGGACTTTGAGAGACTCTTTAGAAACTTTAGACGTTTTACATAACCATCCATGCTTTTACTTTACATCCGATAAAAGTGGTTTGGAAAGTGTCATGAGATGGTTAGAGGACATGCATGACTATGATTTTAGATATGACAAGATAGAATATGAGAGAGGTCCTATAAACCGGAAAAAGTGTCATAACAAAGAAATTTTATTGGTAAGTAAATGTGGTTTGAAATAGGACTACTTGTTTTAGGTTTTTTCCATTGTGTCATTTACTTATTTGACGTGGCAGAAAGATATAGAGAATATGAAGATGAACCAATGTCTGCAAATGTTCAGCATATGTACTCGTAAGAGATATTTTTATCTAATATTAAATGGACGCACAGAACTTAGCGAATGCACAGAAACCCGGACAACCAAACCCAGAGAATATTCCAAATGAAGTTAGAATACAAACTGCAATGGCAAACTATGGTCAAGTGCCAACAGATGTACAAATGCAAACTGCCATGTCAAATGACGCTGCGTTAGGTTTGCCACCATGGTATGCAAATATGAGATGGAAAGAGTTTTATACAAACCCTGAAGTGGGATATAAACAACTTTACGCAGATGACGCGAACACAGGAGTTGACCCGGAATATGTTTTCTACCAGAGGAGAAATAGAATGTATGAGCTCCAGTTAAAGAATGCAATGGAACTCAGAAGGAAACGTAAAAGACTAGGCGGACATTAGATTTTTACATATAGTAAAATGGGTTTCTTTGGAAGAATAGGAAACTTCTTTCGAAATGTTGGAAGAGGTATATGGAATGGAATAAAAACCGTAGGAAGAGGAATTTGGAACGGAGTCAAAAATATTGGTAAAAGAGTAGGTCAGTTCGTTGGTATTATACCTAAAGACCCTGAACCAGAAGAACAAGCTCCTGTTATACAACAGCCTGAACCTGCACCACAGTCTAGTTGGCAACCAAATCCAACACCTCAACCGTATTAAAATTATATTTTTACCGTTCGATAGTAGTTGTATATGAGACTAAGTTCTAAGTAAAACGCATGGTATAATGGAACTATTCTCTTTCTTCCATCTGTAGTAAACCATACTTGAAAGTCTGAAATACTTCCACTCGGTGGTTCATATAGCTTTGTAGGTTTTTCGTAAAAGTCATTTGCCAAGCATAAAAAAGAGTTTTGTGCGCCAGAAAATGAAGCATGAACTATAATAGCATCTGAGTCGAAAACATTTTCATATGTTCCATTAGGGTTTTCGACTTCATAAAAGTCCGGGTGTACTGGATATTCTGCAGGCTGATTTAACATCCTCAAAAATCTATACCATGCCAAGTTGTTATATTTTGTAGAAATATAAACGTCTTCTCCAAGGTCTTCTATTCTATTGATTTTAACAGTTGCATTTTTCCTGTCATATATAATATCGAGATGGTACTCTCCTTCGTCAATGTTGTACTGTTTTGCATATTCGAGATAGATATCGTTTATTTTTTCTTGAAAAGCTTGAAGAGTTGTTTCTAAGTTTACAAGCAAACTAACTTGTAAAGTTTTCCCTGTACAAA